AATACCTCTGCTTTTCTGCTCCACGGTCAGTGTGAAGGTCCTGGCCGTGTCCCCGAGGTGGTTCCTGGCCGTGCAGGTGTACTGGCCACTGTTTTCAGGTGTGGCTGCAGTGATGTTGACCACAGACCATCCCCCTGTGCTGCTGTCCTGTACGTTAGGAGCTTTTGGGTACCTCCAGTGGTATTGAGGAAGTGGGCTCCCCTCAGCGCTGCAGTTCAAGACCACTGATCCTCCAGCCACAAGGGAAAGACTTTCATTTGATTGGACAAACTGAGGCTTGTCTGAAAAAAATAAGAATGGTATAAAGTATAGTATAATATACTATAATATAGTATAATATTTCAGACTAGGATCCTGTGGAGAAAGAAGCAGACAGCCTTCCTGTCCTTAATTCTGCACTTCTCTGGACTGTCGCCTGCCTTCGGCTGTCTGATTGACTGATTCATCTGTAAGAAATTTCCTCCTTCTTTTCAGGGCTCAGGCAACCAGCCCAGAAAGGCCAGCTGTATTTTGTCAACAAGCCACCCAATTTCACCTAGTCTTCACTCCAGGAAGTGTTCAAGTGTCTCAATTTCTGTTTTCGTCCTTTAATTTGTGAAAGTATGAAAATAAAAATGTATGATTCCTAGGCAAGGAAAGTTCAGAGTCGGCCACACTTGATTTAGAATTTAAGAAGCAACGTACAGATCACAGTGATGTTCACATTCCGTTTCACTCTCCCGTATCTGTTTTCAGCCTGAAAGGTGAAGAGTCCAGTATCTCTCCTGGACAGGGGCCAATCGGGCACAGTCTTTTGTGCATCTATTAACCACTGGGTGTCAGGGGGAGGGTTTCCCACAGCTGTACAGGGGACACTGCTCTCGAGACTCTGACCCTCTTTCACAGTGGCACTGGGAGGACAAGTGATCACAGGACCATCTGTGGATTGAAGACGGAATTTGCTTTTGAAATAAATTGTACATGACAGTAGTTCTTGGAACAGAAATATCAGTATTCTAAATAAGTAAATTATGTAAATTCTACATTTCATCAAATGATTTAAACTCAATCCAGACTCTAATACTGTCAATACCATAGTTTTGCATTTGAGGCAGCCTGTGAGCCATTTTGGTTTGGAATCAATCAAGATGTGAGTGTGCACATACTATGCTTTCAATAAAAAAAGAAAAGAAAGTTCATATATATGTTTTTTTTAAGAATAGCTGAAATCAGAGCACATATCAACAATTGAGGCTACGGTATCTTTGTAGCCTTGGTAAATTCTTTCAAAGCAATACTCGAAGCAATACTTCGATAATTTATCCATCGCAGTTATAAGGTGAAATCTGAACTTCTTATCACCTTTCAGCAAAAATGAAATTATTTTAAGCATCAAAAGAAACATATCCTTTATAATGATAACTAATCCACGAAGGCATTACCATGAAAATGAAAAGTAGCTTCACAGACTTTTTATTGAATAGACATGATGTAAGTCAATTCATTATGCTGATTAACATTTGTCATCAAATGGAATAATCAACAGAGTGGTCTGCAAATAGTGCAGTTTGACCACCTCTCCACAGAAGCACCACACTGCACATATCATCTTGTGGGATTCTGTCCTGCTGAAGATCTCGGTCCTGTTCTGTCACAGGGCCTGGACGTACATATTCCTATTCACTGGCCTCTAAGCCTTAGATGCTTAGCAAAACATGGTCATCGCAAATCATCCCACCAGTGTACAGTGCCGCTCATGTTTGGTGAGCAGGGCATAACATGTTACCAGCAGATGAAGTGCACCCATCATAACACATCACCAGTACATGGAGTACTGCATCTGTGATGAAGAACAATGATGCTCATACTATATACATTTTGCATAGATTGGACATTTGCACTCTACAGCAATGTTTTCTGAATTAATAATTTCTCCTATTTCTCCCACTGATATTTAGCATTGCCTGTTTGAAAAG